ATAATAATAATAATAATAATGGTTTTATCAATAATAAGGATGAAAACGTGAGACAATCTGTGATAACACGAATACTGATAAAAAACCGCATGATTGAACAAACAAATGTTCAGGTAGACATAGTAGTCGATAAAGCCTAGCTGGAAACAAATGAACCGATTAAGTAATGCTAGACTGATTGTAAGGAAAGTAAGTGGGAAACACGTTTTGAATGAAGACCTGGTAAGATTAAGGGATGATAAGAGAGGGGTTGAAAATATAAGTAAGTAAGGGGTGGTGTAGAAGTCATCAGTTGGTTATGTCTTAATAGGCCAACGAACGTCTTTTGAATACATAGTTTAGGTTTAATAGTTCGAATGCCTATCGCTCGCCTCAGTTGTGTGCAGTAGACGAATACGAAGTCTACTGGAAAGATTCGGTGGGATACGATGAATTACCTTGAAAACTTCCGTTTTCTTCAATACATGACCACTACCAATTAAACGTGACAAAAATGAGACTGCGAATTGTTTTTGTCTGTCCTTTGCCAAGCCATCTGGTAGTGCGCCCAATACAACTGTCACCGCAGGTACAGTTGAACTGACAAATCCACATAGATGTGGAAAAACTATCTAGCTATCTATCCTTCGTTTGCGTCCCAATCATTCATCGGCTAGAGAATGACAAACAAACATAGGTATGCTGCGTAAAACGTTCTTCGTATACTCCTGGAAAGTTTCTGGAATAAAATCTCACTTGATAAGTCGCCATTAAATTGTCTTATAATAAATAGAGGTTTTTCACGTGTAGTCAGATTCTCAGGTTTTTTTATCTGATGCTTTCATATGTTTCGTCAGTGATCAATCCGTTGACACTGGCTGATGCAACTTCTCAAATAAGTGAAGTGGTCAACACGCCTAACCGATCGCTTCAATCCCTATTCCTAAGCTAGGAGTCAATTTAGTCCAGTCAGTACTGTGGCACCATCCTACATTTGACAGCAGGAGCAAATCGCATGCCGAACATTCGAAGATTACTGCAGCTCAAGGTGTTCAGAAGACTCTGCATTTTGTCAGTATCCTCCCCTAACAGGACTATGTCATCTGCATATTCTAAGTCCATAAGACTATTCCCTGGTAACAAGTCGATTCCTAAATCGTTAAGTTCAGTTAAGGATACTTCCATTAGCATATCTATAATGAAGTTAAACAGAAATGGGGAAAGTGGACATCCTTGACGGACACCACTGGTTGTTATCGATTCAGATGACAATTCCTCATAAACCCTTACACGGCTACGTGAGTTTGAGTAGAGTGCCTTGATTAGTGCAATGTACTTTCTTGGCACTCCCTTCATAGTCAAACATCGCCATAGTACCTCTCGATCCACGGAGTCGAAGGCCGCCTTCAAGTCAAGAAATATGGCAATTGTTGGACGCCTAAAAGTGTGTCTATGTTCTAGGATCTGTCGGAGAGTGAAGATATGATCTATGCACCCTCTACCTGGCCTAAAGCCTGCTTGATTTTCCCTCGTTTGTTCCTCCCGAGTTCGGCTTAGTCTGTGCATGATTACTGAGCCTAGGATTTTAGAGACTATGTTCGTCAGGCTGATTCCTCTATGATTATCACATGAGGACTTGTCTCCCTTCTTGAATATTGGTATAATAAGTGACTTACCCCAGTCTGATGGAACCGTCTCTGATTCTCAGACGTTACCTAGTACCTTAGTTAAACTATATACTAGTATGTCACCCCCATATTTAAACACCTCCGGAATAATTCCGTCGGGTCCTGCCGCTTTGCCTGGTTTCAGATTACAGATAGCTTCTGTGACTTCACTTACGGACGGCGGGCCAGTGTCTATATCCCATTCGGGTGTGTGCTGGATGGCGGGGAGGCTCAGTGTGGCTGTAGGCAAGTTAAATTGTTCCTCAAAGTGTTCTTTCCAGCGTTCAAGGCGTCTATCCTGAGAGCTATATCATCTGCATATTCTCAGTCAAGTAGACTATTGTTCCCTGATGGTAACAAGTCAATCCGTGAGTTGCTGAAGTCAGTAGTTACAGTTAATTCCACATCTACGATGAAATTGAATAGAAATTGGGATAGTGGGCATCCCTGACGGAAACCACTAGTTGTCACCACTTCAGATGGCAACTCGCCGTAAGCTCTTCACCTGGCTGGCTGGCTGACTGCATGATTTCGAGTCGAGTGAGAGTGCCTTGATCAGTGCAATGTATTTTCTCGGCGTTCCTTTTTACAGAAAAACATCGCCATAGTAGCCTTTCGTTCGACAGAATCGAATACCGCCTTTAGGTCATGAAATATAACGATTGTTGGACGCCAACGGTAAGTATGCCCCTAAAATATTTTTCTACCTGAACTTCAGCTGTTTTCAACAACTTGAACTGTTAATCAGTCTTAAAAGACATAAAATTAAAGTCAATCTGAACGAAGAATATTTTTTTCAATAATTTCTCTTCAGGTTCTTACAATTATAAAAAAGCCTCTGTTTTTACGTCTTCAATTCAAGGGAGATACTCCTGCAGAGATTCTATCGCAACGTTTAACCAGGGCGATCAAGAAAACTTTCTACTCTGCACGTCTGTGTCTATCCTTCAGTAGCCGTTCAATGTTCGCCCAGCAACTCAAAGATGTCTTACCTAAGCTTAGCTCTTCTTCATGCATATATCATTTCAACTATTCCTGTGGTTCAAGTTATTTATATAGGGCGCACGATTAGACAGGTTCGTCTACAGGTTCGAGAACATTTACCAGCTTGGTTCAGCATGGGGTGGGGAATTAAGTGCATAAAAGCTCGATCCTGTCACACTTGGTCGATGTCAACACAGCTTTCAGGGTTATATACCGAATTCCGAAGTCGTTATCACGTACAGTTCGCTTACGTCTTCTACACATAGCTGAAGCTGTTGCAATAAGATCGACTAAACCGGAACTTTGTATCCAAAAAGAACACACGTCCAGACACTGTTCCTACCGTGGCCAAACTTGGATTGATGATTCTTATTCTCACCAAGAGTGCTCCTTCCCCTTAACCCTCTTGGCATTTTTTTCCTTTGCTTATTATTACAAATATTATTATTATTATTCGTCATAATTCATGCCCTTCATGCAAACATTCTCTCAATACTATCGAATTTTTCATTTATACTATCCGGACTTATTATTATTAGTGATATTATCTCTTTTCTCAATATATGCCTCCACCTGTTTCATTTCACATATTCGTTATTTCATTATGAACCTCTCATTGTAGTTTTACTATCTCCTGTTTAACACAGACCACTTTGTACTAGCCACTCACTCACCTGACCCGTTTTATAACACTGAACTGACTTGTCAATTTTTCTACCCCACACTCCACAAATCTATTATGACTAATCACCACCATTGTCCCCCATTTTACAATATTTTGTAATCGATTTCAGCGCAGAGCACGTTTGTCACACTCAAATACGACTACTGTTGTTTTAACACCCCATAACTGCTAATCTGTTATTCTACGTTAAAAATGTATCTGCCGCATAACTCGCCTTTATTGTAACGACAACAAATATTATATTTTATAATTGTAAGAACCTGAATAATAGAAATTATTGAAGAGAATATTCTTCGTTCAGATTGACTAATAATTCATAATATGGAAATTTTCCACCCTGTCATTATTATTATTGTTCCCTTGGGTTCCTAGTGCAACACAGGACTTCAACTGCACGTCTCCACTTGCTTCTGTCTTCTGCTGTACTTTTAACCCGCATCCATGTTATTCCATACTGTTTCAACTCCTCTTCACACTATCTCCTGCATGTCATCCGTGGAGACACGACCCACTACTCGCCGCTTCCCTTTCGGCTTCCACTCGAGCGATGGCCTGACGCGCAATGTCACCAGCAGCGGCCTCCTCAGCGAGTGTTCAATCCATCTCCACTTTCTCCTGCATATTTGTTGAGCGATTGGTTTTTGTTTCGTTTGTTTGTTCCCATAGTTTCTTGTTGGTTCTTGTTCTTTCCGGTGGCCATCTGATCTTCAACATAGAGCGAAGACAGTTGTTGATAAAGGTCTGCAACCTGTTGGAAATGTTCTTTGTGACCCGCCAAGTTTCTGATCCGTATAGAAGAACTGACTGACTTGACGTTTGTGTTGAAAATCCGAATTTTGTTGTTGATGCTGAGTGACGAAGATTTCCAGATTGGTTTTAAGTTGGTGAATGTGTTTCTCGCCTAGATTACTAGGTCACTAGTATTCTAGCCGGTCCCAAGCCCGGATAAAGAGGGAGGGTTGGGGCGTGGTGCTGGCAACTCCACCCCCAAAACTTAACCAAATTGCTACTAAAACTTCAACGCACAAATATATTCAAAATTCTAAAAATACAAACAATAACCTTATTTTTTCGCTGGAATCGGGGAAGTGAAATGACGCAGGCTGGTGAAAGCCTTCGGGAAGGCAGTCAGCCGATGTGCCTTCTTTCGATGAAAGCAAAAATAAGGATGGGGACGTGGAATATTCCTACAATGTACGAAACTCGAAAGGCTGCCCAGGTAGCCACAGAAATGAGGAGATATAAAATGGAAGTGTTGGGAATCTGCGAGAGCAGATGGAATGGATGAGGAAGGTGCCAACTACCAACTGGAGAGACAATAATCTACTCCGGTCACCCAGAGGAAGATGACGAGCACACTGAGGGAGTAGCCATCATGATGTCACCAATAGCGGCTAAAGCTCTCATGCAGTGGCAACCAATCTCCTCCAGGATAGTGACAGCCAGGTTCAACTCAAAAGGAAAAAAGGTTACAATCATTCCACCCTATCAAATCTTATAAAATTAATGGGTACTACTGTTTGGGAAAAAAATTAAAAATTATGCACAAGATGTGTGAATTTTTTTATATTCACTAACGTATTTAATCGAAACTTCACCCCAAAAAAATCAATTTTCAAACTACTCACTTTCTTGTTGTTTCTTTTTGTGTTTTTGATCATACACAATCTTCACAATTCTCTTAGCTAATGATATCGAATATCAACGAAATCGAAGCGAGCATGGATCCATATTTTATGCGTTTAATGCGTGCACAATTTGCCTATCTACAAAATTTACTAAGACCTGGTTTATCTTTGCTAAATTGGACAAGTTTGGGTATTGATCAATTTATTGACGATGTAACAGGATATACTGATCAGTTACGATTGTTGAATGAACGTGCAAATGATTTGAAGATGTATCGAATTGAAAAAGTAAGCGATCTAATTATGAGGATTTTTATTTTAATTGATTAAAAATGCCCATTAAAATTTTCAAAAGAATAGACACGGAACAAAGAGTACTCTTTTCGATAACCCCTTCATCATCAGGTTCTACAATTATATATACATTATAATGAATGAATGAATTAGTCTTATGAACAACATTAATGTTGCTGTTTAAATAACATCGAATCAATAATATTGATAGATTACAGCTGAACAGCATCAACATAAAATAAACTGAATGTCAGAAGAATTAGGAAAGGTAATAGTACAAATTCATGAATTTATAGTTCTCTGAGGGCCAGGCGTAGTAGGGCTACTGGACTTGCTTCTTTTGAACACAGAGCACTGGTTGTTTGAGGCGAATTGCAATAGCCTCTGCTGTTTGGAGCATGCGGTTCTTCGGCGATTTTGGTAATTTGTTAGGCACCCGGAATATTATAGAGAAGGATTCTTCTACGCTGGCTTTGTGACCGGTTTGCACCAGATGGTCTAATATCGAGCTGCTACTATTTTTAACTACACCTTTACTTAGCCATAGTGGGATATGTTCTCGAGCAAGCACGAAAAATCAAGTTCCTAGAGCAACGGCCAATATAACTCGCTCCAGCTCAAGTGCAGTTGAATTGGTAGATACAATTTGAAGTGGCCAGCTAGTCTAGGTACTTCATCTTTCAGTCGAGGTAGCACCATCGGTCTTGTAGAGAATAAGATGTGTAGTTCGCCAGTATTAAAAGTTCTTTGAACTGATTTTCTTAATTTCTTCGTAATTGACTCACTTGGTATATCGCCCATGAATTGCAGTCGCCAGCGTAGACGAATCCTTCTCCATAATATACCAGGTGCCTAACAAACTACCAAAATCGTCGAAGCACCGCATGCTCCAAACAGCAGAGGCTATTGCAATTCGCCTCAAACAACCAGTGTTCTCTGTGTCCAAAAGAAACAAGTCCAGGTAGCCCCTACTACTGCCCTGGCCGGCCCTCAGTAGAGACTATAAACTCATGAATTTGTACTATTACCTTTCCTAATTCTTCTGACATTCAGTTTATTGTTATGTTGATGCTGTTCAGCTGTAATTTATCAATATTATTGATTTGATGTTATTTAAACAGCAACATTAATGTCGTTCATAAGACTAATTCATTCATTCATTATAATGTATATATAATTGTAGAACCTGATGATGAATTTATCGAAAAGAGTACTCTTTGTTCCGTGTCTATTCTTTTGAAGATTTTTATTTTGCAAATTTTCTTGAAGTAGTTCTATTTCTATAATATTATAAGTTTTCGAAACCGGTAGATATTACGAGCTTCCTTCCTGCAAATAGTTTGAGCGCCGAGTCAGATTGATTCATTATAAATTATTTAAATTAATCCCAGCGTAGACATTTGTAAAAAATTATATTTGTAAAATCTCAGCGAGATTGAAATGAGTAATTCCAACGTTTTCTGTGTTCGGCAATCTGGTCCGAACTTCTTCAGGGAAATATTTTAGAACTATTCTGTCAAATCTTGACGACAGACAGTTCATTTGAATTATTATTTTGCAATCGAATTAAATTAACAAAGAAACTATGTGTAATTGGCACAATCATCGTGTTTTCACTCTCCGTTGTCTGCAACAGAATAATGCATATCCTAAATCCGTAGCTGTCGAGTCACCTGACAACTCCAGTAGGTCGAATAAAGCAGCTCAATCTTCAGAAAGAAGAAGACAAAGCAATAAGTCCGACAGGGTGCTCTTCAACTAAACTCTAATCCTAAACACCATAATTTTGAAAATACACGTCTAATCATAAAATTCTAGATATACTAACAGTTTGAACAGACATGAAGGTGTGATGTGTGTTAGCTGATGCATAGGAAATCCTTATTAATAAATAAAAAATGGATATGTATCACTAATTATTAATACTTGGTCAAAATTCTCGACTGTCCATATCTTCTTATGGAGACGTTAAGAAATGTTTTACAACTGTTTACCCACCCACACACATACACACTCTGTTTAAAGTGTTTAACAAAGGTAGACCAGTATTTGTAAGAGGTCCGAGGTCAAATTTTGATCACAGCTCATAAAATTTTGTTTATTATACTTGTTGAATGACTCATGATTGGACAAAGTTTTTAAAAACAAGTGATGTTCCTTTTATATATAAACCTCTGTTATGTTAATTTCGATTAATTTCCCTGAAGAAGTTCGGACCAGATTGACGAACGAAACGTTGGAATTACTCATTTCAATCTCGCTGAGATTTTACAAATATAATTTTTTACAAATGTCTACTTCTCACTCGGCGCCCAAATATTTTAGAACTATTCTGTCAAATCTTGACGACAGTTCATTTGAATAATCCCAGCGTGTTTTGAGGAAAAAAGAGAATCAAAACAAGATCTGTTTTCTGAATATTTCGCTGTGTAAGCTGCCACAGCTCTTCACAGCTGAATTATTCGGATTTTTATTAATCATCAAAATATATAGTCAAAACATTTTTACATAAATTGAAGTCAGTTTATTTGAAGGTCTCTCGTCGACAGACATTTGTACCAATAGAAATATGTAAGCAGTCATCAATCATATATCTGTGTAATGACTAATGTCAAATTGTCATTGTGTATATTTCTTTCTGTATGAGTGTGTGAGTGTGAGTGAGTGTATGTTATTTGTCATATGGAAAAGGACGTCAGTGCACATGTGTGTGATAAATTTGATGAGGAACTTAATAATATTAAACTGTTACTGAGTGAAAACGGTTATCCAGAAAGGTTTTTTTGATAAGAATATGAATCTAAAATCAAAGCAGCCCAAGGTACCAACTGTTCCGAGGAAAGGAAGGCTTTATTCTTACAAATGCAGTCAGTTCCTTGGGTACAACATCAGCGAGATACTAACACAGCTGTGCCTTAAAAATGCAGCGGTAAAAAGAGTATTCAGTGTTGCTTCCGAATTACGCTGTGTCTTCAAAACCACTCTCCTCTCTTGTGTTTGTTCGGGAGTAAAAGACAAACTGCCTAATTTTGCCTCTTCCATGTGTGTGTATCTACCAATTTAACTGCTCCTGTGGAGTGAGCCAGTTACTTGCATAGGCCGTACAACTAGGCGTGTTTCTCGTCGAATTTCCTAACATCACCCTGCACAGTGGTTGGTTAAGTAAAGGACAAACAAAATCTATTCGCAGCGCTATTCTATCTCACTCATCTTGTGGATACATAACACAAGACTGATTGATGTTAACCAGGAGGCTTTCAGGGTCATTTACCGCATACCAACAAATCTCAATTTCGCCTTAAGAGTTTGACTACTAAATACATTGCTGAGGCTGGCTGGCCGTTGGGATCCATATTAAGACGCCTAATTTGTGCATTCAAAAGAAGTTGGTTGTTCAGACATTATCCTTACCCGCTTGGCCATCTAGGTTTGAATGATCTTTAATTTGTTGTAGAAATTTCCTTATTTTAGTTGATATTGTATTTGGTACTATATCTTTATTATTATTAATATTATTATTATTGTAATTTAAGCATCTTGACTCTACTGTAAAAGACTTAATATAGCATCAACTTGTGGTAGACAGAGGAGAATAATCGTAGTATTACTAAAACTCTCATATTTGTTAACTGATTGATATCAATTAGGGAAACATTAGAAACGAACTGGTATTGAACAGTTATTGCGTCCTAGTTTCGGACTTTTCATCAGTACGCACCTATGACGTCACCAGGGACTGAAAGCACACCGTCCAGGTTACGAGGCAAGCTCGTTATCCATTGAGGCAATAGGACACAGAGTCAGTGACCCATGATTTTCGTAACTTCTGGTAGTTCGCGGCATATACCGCCATGATTAACTAGTCAGTGTCATCGGTACGTATTTTTCCACACATTTGACCTAGTGGACCAAAATGGTCACTGCTTCTCACTGGTCACTGCTCAGCAGTTCGCTCCGTCCTTCTCTATGGCTCTGAAACATGGCCAATACGAGTTGAAGACATGAAAAGGTTGACTGTTTTTGATCATAGATGTCTACGATCTCTTTCTCACGTTAGGTGGTATTGTAAGGTAAGTAATGTTGACGTTAGGTTAGGCGTGGAGTGTTGGGCAAAGAGGGAAAATCAATCGAAGAGGCTATAAAGTTACATAGATTGAGATGGCTAGGTCACGTGCTGCGCATGCCTAACCATCGCCTCCCCCTCCCGATGGGCATTACTAGCTGATATAGGTGCAGGTTGGAAAAGAGTAAGTGGTGCCATGCCAAACAAAAACATGGCCTCATCAATCCATGAAATCCTTGACAGTTAAACTGAGTCAGTCAGGTAGGGAGGGAGATGCAGACTTCCGGGTTGGGGCCCGCCCTCGGGACTCTAAGAATCAATGGCTGGAGACAATAGGTGACATGGCTCAAAATCCTTGTCAATGGCTTACGCAGATGTATTCAGTCTCTTGTGTAATCTTTCATATTCCTTTCTACCATTACTCATTCTGTTTCACTCTTATACTTGTCAAAACTCTATTGATTCTCTTCACTCATCCATCTTCTTGTCTACCTTTGTGTGCTATTTGGAACGTGGCAACTCGAACTGTTGCACTTCGGTGCCAAGTTCTATGTTGAATCCAACCAGCCAGCCAGTGGACCAAAATAGTCACTGTTTCTCACTGGAAATTCAGGGCAACTTCATCCCCTTAGCCAATCACTACTAAGCATTCCAAATATCCTAAGTTCGAGCCTTCGTAGGGTCATTCATTGGTGCATGCTGCTTATCCTGCTGACTCAAGACCAACATTCATACATACTATGACAAACTTCTTACTTTACAGAAAGATTCACATTGTGCCTCCACAGTATATTACCTTTGAATAATAATAGACATTAGTAACTTTATTGATGTAAGACGAAATAGAATACGCCATTTCAATTGTTCTTTATCTAAGTTGATTCCGAGTTCATTTGAACTCGAGATCCCATTTTTTGGATGTTCTTCTGAAAAGGAGATCTGATGGTTCTCTTTAAAGATCGATCTACAGGAAACCAACATAGAATGGTCAATACACAAATTTCCATAGTTAGGTCCCTTTGAGAAGAAAGAGAAACCTGATCCACTCCTTATCCTCAAGATTAAGAAGAGGATATGTTCCAGTGATACAATCGACGGGGAACTGGGGCGACTCAGACAGGTCCTCCTCATAGAGAATGGATATCCTCCAAGATTTATCGAGAAAAAGAAAAAGTTAAGGGGAAAGCCTGAAAGAACCCAGATGGTTCCGAAGAAACTGCTATTTATGAGTGTTGAATTTAAAGGTGATACCGCAGCTGAGATCCTGAAGAATCGCTGCTTATGCAGATCACTGAGGAAAGCCTTCTTTATGGCTGAGCTACGTATCAATTTCTACAGCCGACAAATGATCAACGGATGTGTGAAGGATAAACTGCCGCTTTGGACAGGCCACTTCAATGTGTGTGTTTATAAATTCACCTGCTCGTGTGGAGCTAGTTATATTGGCCGCCCGGACAACTTGGCGCACACTTTCCAAACGCATCTCTGAACATTATCCGGCATGGTTAGCAAAAGGACAATGAACAAGACAATTACTAGCTCAATTCTCGAGTACTTGGTGAACTCAGGCCACGTAGCTCCACCAGAGTCATCTTTCAAGATCATCTACAAGGTGAGGCCAAATGGTACAAAGGGCGTCAGGTTTCGGCTTTTGTGTATGGCGGAGGCGCTGGCAATTCGTCAATACAACCCCGAACTCTGTATACAGAAAAAGTTTGTCCAGTCTCTTATTCTACCTTGGTCTTAACCTCTTCACTAGTCGTTCCTATTTTTAATTTTACTTTTAGTTTGCTTTTGCTTTAATAATTAATTCACTATTATCACTCTCATATGCTCCCTGTTGTACATTTTCACACCCTCTTCACACTTGTTAAATTGACACTCAACTACCACCTTTATTCTCTCTCACTCAATAGCAATTTTAACCTTATCAAATTTCTAACATTTTCTTCTTTCGTGCCGTTGGGTATTACACAATTTACAACTTTTATTTTTACTTCTAAAGCCACTTCTGAGTAATTATATCAATTATGTCACCCACCCTACTTTTGGTAATTATAAATACGACTGTACAGCCAAGCCAGCCAGCCTGTGAAGATGATTTCGTCGATAAAGAAGCATCTTCTTCGCTGGCTGAATTTGTCTCTTGTTTATTTTCTTCATGATTCAATCAATGGGTACTTTCAGTGATCTAAATGTGCTTTTCTTGTGCTTTTCTAATTTTTTTTTTGTTTTAGGTTTTAGACGAAATATCTAATGTCACCTTATGCGAATTGAGTGATACAGAGCCGTGGAGCATAGACTACTTCCTTGAGCATACCAAACAGTTGTGTAGTCAAGCTGGACAGCTGTTACAGATTAAAAGTCAAGCTATTCAAGATGCTGTACATGAATTAATCGATATGCTATGCGGTGAATACAGGTTACAATTGATACAAGAAGAGGAAAAGACAGCTGGGAGTTCACCACGGGTTATACGATCAGGAAAGTCAACAGCGTCTCAACATGACTCAGCTTATTCAAGTAATCAACATCATCTAATTGATGAATATTTTGTTTGTTTTTTATAGTTTAGTTTATTGATTTATGATTATGACCAATTTTAATAATCGATATTTATCTAGATGAATACATCGATTCAATAGCCTTTATTTGAGTCACTATAAATTGTGAGAATTGATCATCTCATGATGATATTACATTCTGTCTATCTGTCTGATTCAACATAGAACTTGGCACCGAAGTGCAGCAGTTCGAGTTGCCACATTCCAAATAACACACAAAGGTAGACAAGAAGATGGATGAGTGAAGAGAATCAATAGTTTTGACAAGTATAAGAGTGAAACAGAATGAGTAATGGTAGAAAGGAATATGAGACTGAATATTACAGAGACTGAATACATCTGCTTAAGCCATTGACAACGATTTTGAGCCATGTCACCTATTGTCTCCAGCCATTGATTCTTAGAGTCCCGAGGGCGGGCCCCAACCCGGAACTATGCATCTCCCTCCCTACCTGACTAACTCAGTTTAACTGTCAAGGATTTCATGGATTGATGCTTGATGTTTTTGTTTGGCATGGCACTTACTCTTTTCCAACCTGCACCTATATATCAGCTAGTAATGCCCGTCGGGAGGGGGAGGCGATGATTAGGCATGCGCAGCACGTGACCTAGCCATCTCAATCTATGTAACTTTATAGCCTGTTTGATTGATTTTAGTCTCTTTGCCCAACACTCTTACCTTATTATACCACCTAACGTGAGAAAGAGATCGTAGACATCTATGATCAAAAACAGTCAACCTTTTCATGTCTTCAACTCGTATTGGCCATGTTTCAGAGCCAGCCATAGAGAAGGACGGAGCGAACTGCTGAGCAGTACACACGTCCCTTGGTTGATAGCCGGATGTCACGCCTACGCCAGAGACGGTGTAAGTTAGCGAAAGCAGCTCGAGCATTTTGGATCCGTGCTGAGATTTACATTACATTGTCTAGTCATTGTCCTGCACTCTAATTTATACTGATTACCATCTATCGACTTCTACACGGGTACATAAATCATCGGTTGAATACCCTTCTGATAAAATGTTTGACCTGGCCACTATATATCATTCCTATTTGTTCCTAGTGGAACTCAGGACTTCAATCTTGAGATTTGAAGTACCGCGTAGCAGCGGTATTGTTTTTTTACGGGGTGCGCACAGCTAAAGTAGGTAAAGATGGTCGCTGACCGGGAGCCGAACCCCAGACAGACCACATGGGTGGTTGGTGAGAAGTCTGCCCTGGATTAACCATCGACCGGGACAATATGAGATACAAAAAAGTGAGTAGTTTTGAGAAGACAGTAGGTTGTGGTAATTGTAATTACGCAGAGTCTGGAATTCTAAACAGTTAGTGTATGGTTTTACGTTTTTAAGTTTATTATACAGTGAATTGGTCAGTTAGCCCTAGCAGGTTATATTTCTGTCGTGTTCACCTAACTACTGCTACGAGGGATGTGTATAAAAGAAGTTTTACCCACTTAACTGTGTATAATGTTTATATGTTTGGAGGATCTGGACTTCACCGATGATATATGTCTGATTTCCCACTCACTGGAAGATGTTATGCAAGTGAAAAGCAACAAGTTGGCAGAAGAAGCATCTGGGTGAACATAGAGAAAACAGAGGTGATGAAGATTCCTGGCCAACAGCAACAGCAACAACAACAACAGACAACAATAAGCCTGCATAAATGGGAGGAACCTGAAAGAAACTACCTCCTTTACCTACCTACCCACCTGAGAAGCATCGTTTCAACTACAGGCGGACTCAACTGACGAGGATATTAAAGCAAGAATCGGCAAACCAAGATAAGCTTTCACTACCCTCAAGTCTGTGTGGAGGTCAACAGCACTGCTCAGCATGAAAAACACTCTCCGGATTTTCAATTCCAATGTGAAGTCAGTCAGTGCTACTCACTATACGGATCAGAGACTTGGCCAGCGCGTCATAAAGAGCATCTCAAACAAACTACAGATCTTCATCAACAGCTAGTTGTCTTCGCTCAATAATCAAGATCAGATGGCCGACCAGAAAAGATCAGCAACAGGGATCTCTGGCAATGAGAACCAACACAGCAGGAACCGATTGTGAAACAAATAGGCAGGAAGAAATGGAGGTGGATTGGATTGTCCATACTCTGAGTGTTAATGGAAGGTTTGAAAGTAACATCTTTTATGCGAAAAATTATCCTCCTCTTATCAATAATCTTCCAGTTTTTTCATGCATACCTTTGCGTTCAGCATATAACATAGGGCTTCAAGCTGTGAATTTTCAATAGAAATGGTATTGTTAATTTTATGGAGTCTCACGCCCAACCTTTCTTCTTTTCTGGGGTCACTAACACCTCTTGCTTCATGTGAACTTGAAACAGGACTTGGTTACTCATTCACTTTAGCCAGACCTATGTGTATAAAAGTGGTGTTCACAGTTCTTTTTTCTGCCCTACTCCCTGAATAGAAAGAAGGGGTTTATTTAATTGGGATGCCCTTCCCTTATTACTGTGACTGTTATTATTATTATTGTCACTCTGAACAGTATCCAGTATTATAGTATTCAATATATTTTGCCAATGTCAAAGTCTCTCTGATCAAACCACTCACTAAGTGACGTAATTCAATTCAAATTGAAGTGTGTATGCGCTGAAGATGTCGCCTGCCTAGTAGGGCGATGAAAGCTTCGCCGCAAATTAACTATCCAGCTAGCTCAGAGAACACACACCACTGCATCAAAATCATCCACCTGAGCTACAAATCTTCTCCATCCTATCTAAATCTTACGAGCGGAACACGCTTCTTTCTGTTGGAAGGGGGGAGGGGGAAGACTTGCTAAAAAGGCAAGGATCCACCAGAGGACAATTATTCTTTCTCCATGAGTGCCTTCGTCATCAAATCCTACCGACCAGTGTCAGATATAAACCACCAGGGATGGAAATTGGCCGAACAATGTGGAAGACGAATGGTCAAATTAATGATTACAGACGCACATTATCGGATCAAGAAATATCAACAAATAATAAACATCCAAAAAGAAAAACTAGAGAAAACCCTTAACCAGGAACACCTGTCAACGCTGATCACCGTAATTACATTGTCAAGTAGAAAACACAGAGAACAAAGACGGAGAGTTCTCAAAACCAAGCTAGCCAAGAATAGAAAACCAAACAACCAGACAATGTACCTATTGACTGCGTAGTCAACCTATCAAAACAACCACTATCAAAAATGGAACAACAACTACTACAAAAAGGATTAAACTACAACACCGGAGATGCCTCGGAAACTGATTTCTTCGCTGCCCTTGAATCATTACTCAAATCATCAAACTTGAACGAGGAAACACAGGAAGAGATACGCCAAACAATTGTACCAATGGTCAAACAGAAAAAACAACACACACAACTCAACTTTCAAGAACTAAAGGCCCTCAAAAAGCTGAAAAATAGGAAGGATATCGTCATTTTACCAGCTGACAAAGGAAGAACAACAGTAATCATGGACAGAGAAGAATACACCAAGAAAGCTGAAGAACTACTCAAAGACGAGGATGTATATCAACAACACATCCAAAGAACCTTAAACAAGCTCACCAAAACTGGACAGATCACAAAACAAGACCAATGGCGAATGAAATCCAATGGACCAGTCCTACCCTGATTCTACGGCACACCCAAAATACACAAGCGAAATATCCCGTTACGACCAATTGTATCACTCTCAGGAACTCCAACATACAATTTATCCAAAGAATTATACAGAAAATTGAAACACCTAACGGAATCTTGTGATCACTCCATCAATTCTGCTATCCAATTTCTAGAGAAAATCAGAGGCATCCAAATAGATGACCAAGAAATAATGATATCCTTCGATGTCACAGCATTATATACCTCCTACCTTAATTGGACAGAAACTAGCAAAAAAGAGACCATGCAGCAATTACTCAGCAACGACGAACACCCCTTGCTCAACAATCAAAAATGCAACACACAAGCTGGATGGAATGCATAACCCTATGCCTAACAACGTACTTCCAATTCAACGGCCAAATATATGAACAAGCTACAGGAACACCACCCATGGGATGGATCGCCAATATCAGGTTTGATTGCAGAAGCATGAGTGATGCAAAGGCTCGAAAACATAATCCTACCAAAGATCAAACCCGAAATTTGGATACGTTACGTAGACGAGACATTTGTAATAGAAAATCAAAACAAATGATTCAGCGAAGAGACTCTTTTCAACGAATTTATCATCAAGCTGTACAATCGTATATATATGGTTTTTTTAAGAAGTTATATCCGGTGAGGGAATTGAAACATAGGTGTGAATGCATAAAATAATAATAATAATAATATGAAATGCAATTAAAACTAAAATGTTTGTGATTATAATCGTGGTTAAATGTCAAGTGGCAAAGCAAATTAATGTCATATATAGAATAATTCATAGGATGGATAGAACTTGAAAAAGGTGTGCAATTATAAGATTAGTAGACAAATCGAATAAAACAAGAAGAATTGATTTAGAATGACAAGTGGAACAAGTGAAATAATACCGAGGACAATTAAAAGTGAGAGTAGTAATAGTAACAATTGACATAATAAGGAAGAGTATACAAATTGAATAGACAAAACTGAAAAAATGAAAAATTGGTGGAGCTAAAATATGATTGGGGATTACCATACTTTAGCATAGAGGGATTAAGACCATGAAAGTTGGAGGGGTTGAACGAACTTTTTCTGTACACAGAGATCTGGATTTTCTGTTTCGATAGCCAAAGCTTCAGCAATATAGATGAGTCGGGTACGTAGGGATTTGGGTAAAGTACTTTAAGCCTTGTAGATGACTTTAAAGGCGGAGGCTATAGAGATAGGGTGATCATTATCGACCAGATGTTCAATGATCGCGCTTCTTATTGCTCCACTTCCACCTTTTCGTAACTACCCTGTAGGATAGTGTTCTTGCACCCTCTTGGACAAAACTCGAGTCGAATGACCGATATACCTAGCTCCACACGAGCAGGTGAATTGATAAACACACACATAGAGTTGGTCAACAGCGGGATCTTGTCCTTCAGGTTATTGAACAATAATGGTCGACTAGAAAAGGCTATTCACAGGGATGCAGCAGGGAATGTTCTTTTCAGGGACTGTGATATGCTTCGTTTCATGATATCGGAAGCTAAGTAGTCCCCTTTGAATTCCAAGCTCATGTAAAGTATCTTCTTGAGTGCGGATGATAAGTCACGTTTCATAGGATTTGAATGTATACTCTTGTCTATAAAACGTGGTAGGAAATCCATTTTCTATTAGGATTTTTCTTCAAAAGATTTAACTCATCCTCCACAGTATCAGGGCTACATATGTGCCGAATGCGAGTGGCAAGCGACCGGACCAGGTTTCGTTTTCGACCAATGGGTACCCAGCTGTAGAAATTTGTCAGTTGACCATTATTCCATGACAGCTTACGATAAATCGATCTTTTCAGAGTTCCATCGGTCCTTCTTGATAAATTCACATCGAGGAAATGAATGCTAGACTCGTTTTCCATTTCGAGTGTAATAATCAAAAGAAACGGGTTAGATAAAACTCACAACAATCACCGGTGTTCAATTGTTCTGCTTAATAATTTTTGTGTTACTGTGATGAGTGCTACTTATAATCCGATATAAGTAGTATATCAGGAACGAAGTAACAACATGTTTGGCACACTGGAAAGAGCATTCAAAGAAGAGAACCATGAGAAGAATGTTGCCATATGATGCAGAATCCAAGAAGCTATCGAATGAGACGATATTCGTCCAATTCGTCAAGGATGTGGTAAAGATGTGCAAATAGCCGGTTGAGAATATGGTATTCCAAATTTAGCTATGTACCATACGATTCACCATATAAACACTCCTTTCAGTCTCCTCAGTCGTGTCTTCTTTACATTACTACACGCATCAGGTAGACACTGAAATTAAACACCTGCCGATAGATTTGCCTGACCAGTTTTCTCTTTTCTTTTGTCTGTTTGTTTTCAGCTAATGGAGGACGTTCAAAAACTCCAGTAGCAAAAAGTGCGAATGAACGTCGTCGGCGACAAATTGAAGAGACTGCTTACCGATTACTAGAACACTTTCATCAAAAAACTGTGGACACCTTGACGAAACTGGTTCGTAACACATTGGAAAATCTACGGAAATGCTTGACTTTGCCTTCAATTTTATCTTATGGTAAGTTGGTGACTCTCTGTCTGAAGACTCTGTTATTACTTAACTGTAGGGAGTTTAAGATTTTAGTAAACGTTAAGAATTTTAGAACAGAGAGAAAATAACCAGCATTACCTAGGTGAATTCAGTTGGATCAGTTTGATGCGTAAAATTTAATGTTCTATGTGTAATGTACAAACCTGTGAGATATTAAAAAACACCCTACTCTATTTAGCTTATATGTAAATTTCTGATCATTCTTATTATTGTTTCGTTTAATTCCTAGAGGAACATACGGCTTCAGCCGTGTGTCTCCATTGCGTTCGGTTCTCTGCTAGAGTCTTCACCTGGCTCCAAGTCTGTCCACACGTTTTCATCTCCTCTTCACATGACCTCCTCCTAAGTCACCCTACCCTTGCACTGACGACCAACTCGCCGCTTCCCTTACGGGTTCCACTCGAGCAATGGCTTGTCTAGTGATGTCACTCACTTGATGGTTTTCTCAGAGTATGGCCGACCAATCCATCTCCATTTCTTCCTGCATATTTGTTTCACAATCGGTTCCTGCTGTGTTGGTTCGCTCATTGCTAGAGATCCCTGTTGCTGATCTTTTCTGACCAGCCATCTGATTTTGAGTGGTATTGAGCGAAGACAACTAGCTGTTGATGAAAGTCTGTAGTTTGTTTGAGATGCTCTTTATGACGCGCTGGCCAAGTCTCTGATCCGTATAGTGAGTGGCACTGACTGACTTCACATTGGAGTTGAAAATCCGGATCTTATTTTTGATGCTGAATGCTGTTGACCTCCACACAAACTTGAGAGTAATGAGGGCTTGTCTTGCTTACCCGATCCTCGCTTTTGATATCCTCGTCAGTTCCATCCCCCCTAAGTTGAAACGATGCTTCCCAGGTCGGTAGGTAGGTAAAGGAGGTTGTTTCTTTCAGGTTCCTCCCATTTATGCTGATTGTTGTCTGTTGTTGTTGTTGCTGTTGGTGGTGTTGCCCAGGAATCTGATCATTGCTAAATTGACAAAGGTTATTCAAGTATTGGTTTGTAGGGATTTGGTTGATTGGTTACAGGATTTCATCATGAGCTGACATTGGTTAGAGAACCATTGGAAAACCCGCCTCTCGGGGTACTACACAGCTGTTTCGTCCTAGTTTGGGACTTTTCATCGGTACGCACGCACCCCACTGGGTTTCAAACCCAGGACCGCCTTCTTGGTGCAAGGCCAGCGAGCTGGTAGACAATTTAACCACTGGGACCCGATCCAATGGCCAGCCAGCCAGTGAATTCCAACTTTTACCGATGCATGACATAGCGCGACGGCTAGCCAATGTCTTCGGCGAGTATTTGTCCTCACACTCGACCTGCTGCGCCCTACTGGTCACGACTTTCCACTAGAACCCCAGGTCACTACTTACCTGAATAGGGCTAGTCGCCAGTGAGCATCTCATCGATATTCAAGCTAGTCATTCAAAAATATGTCCTATGAAGCGGTTATGAACCGAAACGCCGCTAAAGTAATACGCTGATATTTGGAAAAAATGGTCAACTTTCGTCTGATGCACTTCTGCACGACTATAGCCAGCCAGTGGTGTGCAGTCTGAAGGAGAACCAGGGTAGAAACAAATATTATACCAAAAATAGATAGTGTTTACAAATTAAGATAAATTGTGTTCAATGGTAGGCAAAAGAACGGATTCATCAATATTTTCTATCTTTTGAGACCATTATTTATAGTTAGGGTTTTTGGGATTAAGGTTAGGGTTACAATTATCCTGTTTGATGTGTTTTTTCAGGCATTTTCTTGTACAATGGCTGTGAACAACCCCCAGCTAGATTGTACCAAAATAAATAGCTTTCTGTCGGGAGTCAGTAAATGGTCTGAGTCTAACGTTCTTAAACTGAATCCTTCCAAATGTCAAACTGTTAATTTCAGCTTAAGATGTAAAAGACAGTTAAAAAAAAGCTGTCGATCCTCATGAGAGTTGTAATATTGACGACAATGATATAGGAATTAAAATCAGAAATTAAGTATCTTGGACTTATTGTCTCTTCTGATCTCTCCTGGTCTTCCCAGGTCTTAGCGACCTCCAGTAAAGTATTCCGCCTGACATTTTACATTAAGAAGAATTTAAGGCACTCGGGTATAACTCAACTTCTCCTCCTCTTACAGTTCATAAACTCTTGCATCCTACCTATTCTTCTTTATTGTTCATCCCTGTTTATTCTTTCCTGGTTTGCTTAAAAAGGACTATGTCATAATTCGTAGAATGCTGAAGACTGTCAGTCAGTAGGGTGATGAGTGGTGTCCCAGTGGACCACATAGTTAACGTCGTTGTCGATAGGCACTTGACTTCGTGCAGTAAATTTGCTAAAGGGATTTTGTTTGACTTGGAGCATCCACTTTACCCTCAGCTTTCACCTTGAATCTCCTCAGATAGAACAAGAAGTAACTTCAGAAAATTGTATGCTCGCACGTCTAAGTATAAAAATTCTATGATACCATACTTGGCACGTATTTTATGTGATGAAAATAGTGTCAGGCAAGAATTGACTAACCTTTTTTCATCTAGTAAATAAACAATTTCCTCCATCCATCCTTATATACCTTCAAGTTTTACTTTTATTATTTCTATTATATTTATGGTCCTGTTGCTTCTTTGTTTTACTCTCATAATAGCAAACACCAACTTATCTCTATGACTGCTGTAATCTTTCTTTTTTCCCTCACCATATCATGTAAAGAGAACAATATATTCAATATTTTTAAACATGCTAGGATTTCTATACCGCATCGATAATACTGTGTGAAACAAGCCCACGGCAATTTTCACTTGTATTATTATTATTATTACCTTAGATGTTATCATTATTATTATTATTATTCCATTTTATATGCTGCATGTATTTTTTGACATTACCCCTATTGTAAATGTGGAAAATTTTTTCTGTGTGATTAATTTTATTTATAATTTGAGGAAATTAGATGCTGAAAATTCCGTTCTGTATCACAAGTACTGTTTTTGGAATAAAGTAAATCATTATCATTATTATTATTATTAAAACGTCACTTTTTGTGCAAAAATCAACTAATTTTTGTGGTTGGTTGGCTCAACGTCACTTGTGCATCCTCATCTCTTGAGGCGCTATTGTTTAACTTTGCCTATTTATGTATTTGGCAATTTTACAAGTCATGAATGAGAGTATAATTTGTGGATGGTTACTAGCAGTAGAATCCAGGATAACGCGCATTTCGTCCTATTTTGGACTTGTCCGCCAGCTGGATGTACCTTCATTTCCCAGTGAGTGATGATGTTCCCAGGTACATCCAGATGACGAGTTCCAAATAAGACGAAATGCGCATCCTGGATTCCACTGCTAGTAACCATCCACAAATTAAAGTCTAATTACATGCCCAGACATCGTCGAAGCATCTGCACACGAAGCCAACAGACATGTCAACCTGGGATCGAGCACTTCGGTCCAGTCAATAATAATAATTTGCTTTATTCCAGAAACAGTACTAGTGGTACAGTGTGGAATTTTCAGCACATATCTACAATATTTGCATCTAATGTTGTCAAACATTTAAAAGGAGTATTTAACAAAAAAATAAATATAAAGACAACAACAGCAAAAAAATACAGGAAAAACACAAAATAATTTTCAAAAAATGCGAAAAAATATCAAGAAGAAGAAAGGAAAATAAACAACATACTAAATAATATCTCAGTATTGGGTAGTGGAAGCAATGATATGATTATGCATGGTGACAGTAAAGCTATAGTCATACATGAAGTTATGAAATGATATTTAAGAATGGTTATCGCCAAGATGATCACTTAATTTGACTCAAACAACACTAAACAATCATAAAATAACATTTAAGGGTTTGTTGTTTTGTTTTTTATTGTCAGGTCTAATGCAGTGTTTGTAGTGGTGGTGTGAGTAATCCTGAATAATACAAAATTTTAAGGTGGTGATAATGGCGTTCACAACCAATGATTGTCAGTTAATATTGCCGAAAACAATAAAAAATAAGAAAAAACCAACCACAAAACTAATAATTAAATGATGTTTAATGACAGCACCATTTTGTAATACTCATAGGGTGATATAGTCGGAACCAGTGGATACACAAAAGAAGGAATAGAGTAAAGTACAAAAGAGGAAGCCAATGTTAATAATTTAGGTAGCTAAGTATGTTTAAGAAGGAGTTTACTATAGAATACAAAATAAGAGAGAAATAAAAGAGCCTAACATTATGTTATTAACAACAAAGCAAGTCATAGGTTTCGCGCTTAACATTGTCTCTGTCGCTTAGAACACAGGCCAAGTATGGTATCGTTGAGTTCCTGTACTTGGTTGTACGAGCATAGATTATTTTATACTGATAATAATAATAATAATAATAATAATAATAATTTGCTTTATTCCAGAAACAGTACAGTGGTACAGTGTGGAATTTTCAGCACATATCTACAATATTTGCATCTAATTTTACCGACGTTTAAAATAAGTATTAAACAAACAAAAAAAAAAAGTAAATCTGAAGACACCAACAGTAAAAAAAAACAAAAAAAAAAACAGGATAAACAAAAAATAATTATGAATGCGAAAAAGTACCAAAGTCTACCAAGGTCTAATGCAGTGTTTGTGGTGGTAGTGTGAGTAATCCTGAATAATACAAAATTTTTTAAGGTGGTGACTATGGCGTTCACAAACAATGATTTTCAGTTTAATATTGCCGAAAAGTATAGAAAATAAGATAAGCAACCACAAAACTAATAATTACATGATGGTTAATGACACGACAATTTTGTAATACTCATAGTGCTAATATAGTCGGAACCAGTGATACACAATCGAAGGAATATAGTAAAGTACAAAAAAGGAAGCCAATGTTAATATTTCAGGTAGCTAAGTAGTTTGAAGAAGGAGTTCACTAAAGAATACGAAATAAGAGAGAAATAAAAGAGTATGAAATTATGTTGTTAATAACAAAGCAAGTCACAGGTTTCACGCCTAACATTGTCTCTGTCGCTTAGAACACGGGCCAAGTATGGTATCGTTGAGTTCCTGTACTTGGTTGTACGAGCATAGATTATTTTATACTGATTTCTGGTTTTACTAGATGAGATACAAGGAGAGAGTTGGGAATAGAGGGGGTGTTGGGGGTCTGAGAGTATGGTTTTGGACCATTTTTCACATGTATTCAGATGCCTATCAACTAAAGTAGTCACGAGCTGACTGAGATTAACACCACTAGTCCTACTAACTACTGTCAACATCCTTCTCAGGATGGAATAGTCCTTTTTCAGTAAACCAGGAAAGACTAACGGGGAGCAGTAAAGTAGAATAGGTAGGATACAAGAGTTGACAAATTGTGAAAGTAGAGGTTTGGTGATTCCGGATTGTCTAAGTTTCTTAATGTAGTAGGTAAGACAGAACACTTTCCTAGAAATCATTAGGATATGAGATGTCCAAGTAAGGTCAGAAGATAGAACTAGACCGAGGTATTTTGCATTAGACTTAGTTTCAATCTTAGTCCCCTCAATGCAACAGTCTTCATGAGAACTTACTAGTGTTTGTAGATCTCGTTTATGCCTAAGGGAGAAGTCGACAGTCTGGCATTTTGAGGGATTCAGCATGAGACCATTTAGTTTGGACCACTGACTGATGTCCGACAGGAAGCTATTTAATTTGATACAGTCTGACTGAGACTTAATGGAAAACGATACAGACAGGTCATCTGCATATTTGACGAAGTTGACTTCATCTGAGAGAGGTAAATCATGTAAGAAGAAGGAGAAGAGAAACGGAGAAAGAACAGCACCCTGAGGAACTCCAGCTTCAGTAAGCAATGGAGAGGAAGATGCACCTTTATATACCGTGTACTGCATCCTATTAGAGAAGTAAGAGTGCAGCCAGTTGATAACCCAGGGTTCAGTTTGTGCTAGGCTAAGCTTGTTTAACAATAGGCCTCTAGGTACAGAGTCGAAAGCAGATGTATAGTCAAGGAACGTACAACGGACAAACTTGGCCCCTTTGTCTAAGGAGGATACAATGTTGTGATGAAACACAGCAGCAGCGTCCAAAGTACTTATACCCTGTTTATAAGCAAACTGCTTTGGATCGTTTGAGAAACTTAGGGAGGGAACAAGTTTTAGTAACAATAGTTTCTCCATTAGTTTCAAAAAAGGAGAGGTTATAGCGATAGGTCTGAACTTAGCATTATTACCAGAGCCAGACTTAGGTACAGGGATGATTTTAATATCTTTCCACAGAGAAGGTACAACATTATTAGAAAAAGAAGTATTAAAAATGTTTGTAAGTGGGTTGCTTAAAATATCAGCACATTTCCTAAGGACAATGGCAGGTATACCATCAGGACCTAGACTCTGGGAAGGTTTAAGAGATTTTAAACATTTAAGAACATCAGAAGTTTTAAAACTATTAAAGTCACTGGTCATGTTATTTGTTACATTGAAGCTAGAAGGTACATTGGGAAGGCGGATAAAAGATCTATTTAGAGTATTTACATCAATAGAGGGAGAACAAGAACTATGCTTACCACAACCTGTAATTTCTTTGAAAAGCTTCCACATGTTCCCAGGAGTTTTACATGACAAAATTCTTTGATTATAAATATTGTTTAACCTCTTGATTTCGGATTTGATTTGGATGTTTATTCTCCTAAGACCAGCTTTATCCTTAGCCTTGTATAGTCTCTCTTTTTCTCTTCGAAGCTTTTTGAGATGAGGAGAAGAGAAACGATCCATTCTTTTGAAAAGTATCTGTTTAGGGCAGCATACATCAAGGCAGAATTTAAGATAGTCAGTCAGATTGGAAATAGTATCATCCAGAGTGTGTTCAGTGAAAAGTTCCCAGTTTGTGTCATTTAGCATATATCTTAGTTTGAGCACGTTTTCTTGTGAGTAACATCTTTGTTGTGTTTTCCTGGAGAGATTCGAGAGGATATTAGAGTGATATCTGCTATATATCTTGGGTAATATCCGAATAATACAATGATCAGAGTTCATTATAGGAGCACGTCTGCGTGCTTCATATATTTCCGCATCATTAGTAAATACTAGATCCAGAGTTTTATCAAGTCGAGTTGGAAATTTGACAATGTTGACATGACCTAATGATTCAAGAAAAGAACAGTCACAGGTATTGAAATCTCCAGTGACAACTGATAAAGAGTTTTCAAGATGTGTAACCGCGAATGCTGTGAATTCATCGGCAAAATGAGATAGATCCGAGGCGGAACATCCAGGAGTAACATAAATGTTTGAGATGAAGACGTATTTAAACTTGGATAGGTGTTTCGGACGACATTTGACTGTAATACAATCAATAAAGTCACTAGAGAAAGAAAAACATACATTATTTGAAGTTGACCACTGAGAATGAATGAAGGTTGCGACTCCACCACCTCTTTTCTTTCTAGAGCATATTCGATCTTGTCTAAACAATGTGAAACCATTTAGAGAAACCAGGTTGTCGTCATAAAGATCATGGAGCCATGTTTCTTGTAATGTGACTATCGCCGTATTGTGATAAGTATCAGATGATAAGAGAGACTGGAGATGCATAATTTTGTTGGGAAGTGAACGGCAGTTTGAACTGACAATAACAGGAATAGTTGTGCGATATAATGGTGTCCGTTTGAGAGCGCGTTGCCAACCACCATGATGTTTTCTCTTAGTTTTATTAGATGCATGAAAGTCATATGGTTTAAAACATTTAATGAATTCATTACTGTATTTGATACGATTTGTGACCATATTTTGTTAAAATTAAAAATGGAAACATGATGTATTAGATGCAAATATGTAGATGTACAGAAAGGTAGCCCAGATGTCAAACAGGCCGCCATAATTTTAAAATTTTAAAATTCGATTAAACATGAATGAGATTAATTGTGTTAAGCAAATAAACATTTTTTGATGTTAAGAAATTGTTCATTTTAACAAAAAAAAAAAATAATAATAACTAACTTCACGCGTGGTTTTTAACACTTCCAATTGTTTTTCATCATTCAAGATAGCCTGAATCCAAATGAATCGGTACAGCTATACTTTTCGTGTTATGCACAATTGTGTCTACCGACAATTCTGATCTCCCCGTCCATTGAAGACTTTCAAAAAGCGCTGAACACTGTTGTACACTTAATTATTTCTGTAATGCGTCATATTCCAATGTGGGATTTGAAATTGCGTAGTCCTCTGGGTTATAAGGTTAGTTTATGTTTTTTTTGTTTGTTTTTGAAAATTAACTTTAAGATGATATTTCTTTCTCCTTTTCGTCATTACTTGTTATTCTTTCGCTTGGCATGCGAGAGGTACTGTACTGGGATCGTTGCCCAGGTACTCCAACTCACCTCGTCTCCACCCTCGAGGCGGTGACAAGCATTAGTGCGTCGATTGGCATAGCGGTTAGGACGCTCGCCGACCATGCACATGGTCCGGGGTTCGATCCCCTGGATTGATATCAATCAGTTAGAGAAGCATTGGAAACCAGTCACAGGGAGTACTGCCAGACAGCTAGCTGTTTCATCAGACTAGTTTGGGAATCATCGGCAGTACACACCCACCACAACGGGTTCGGGGACCCAGGACACTCCGGTTACAAGGCCAGCTATCTGGCTCGTATACCATTCAACCACCACTCACTGGGACCCGCCCGATTCAATGGCCAGCCAACCCGTGTATATTCTAACTTCTACCAATTTGTGATTTAACGTGATTGGCACCAACCAATGTCGTCGGTGGAAAATCTATCCTCACACTTGACATCTGGATGGACCTCACTGGTTTGTAAGGATTAGTTTTGTTACCACTAATCCTTACAAACCCACTATAGAAAGTTAATCTGATGCTCGCTAGTGACATGCTACAGGACAGAGTTTCCTGCAGTTCTAGTGAGAAGTCGTGGCCAGTGATCATGAATTAAAAGTCGATCTGAAGGAAGAATATTCTTTTCAATAATTTCTCCTATTCAGGTTCTTACAATTATAAAATACAATATAATATAATATTTGTTGTCGTTACAATAATGATGGTCAATTAGTTATGCGGCGTAGATTAGCAGTTATGGGGTTTCAAAACAAAAATAGTCGTATTTGAGTGTGACACAAACGTGCTCTGAGCTGCAATCGATTACAAAATATTGTGAAATGAGAGAAAATGGTGGAGGTGATTAGTCATGATAGATTTGTAGAGTGTGGGGTAGGAAAATTGACAAGTAAGTCAGTTCAGTGTTATAAAAGGTGTCAGGTGAGTGAGTGAGTGACAGGCTAGTACAAAGTGGTATGTATTCAAGAGGAGGAGATAGTAAGACTGCAATGAGAGGTGGTTCATAATGAAATAAAGAATATGTGAAATGAAGCAACAGGTGGAGGCATATATTGAGAAAAGAGATAATATCACTACTGATAATAAGTCCGGATAGTATAAGTGGAAAATTCGATAGTATTGAGAGAATGTTTGCATGAAGGGCATAAATTATGACGAATAATAATAATATTGATAATAATAATATTTGTAATAATAAGCAAAGGGAAAAAAAAGCCAAGAGGTTTAAGGGGAAGGAGCACTCTTGGTGAGAAGAAGAATCATCAATCCAAGTTTGGTCACGGTAGGAACAGCGTCTGAACGTGTTCTTTTTGCATACAAAGTTCCCGTTTAGTCGATCTTGTTACAACAGCTTCAGCTATGTGTAGGAGACGTAAGCGAACTGTACGTGATAACGATTTGGGAATGACTATAATTAATTACTATAATTACTTATTATTATTATTCGTCATAATTTATGCCCTTCATGCAAACATTCTCTCAATACTATCGAATATTTCATTTGTACTATCCGGACATATTATCAGTAGTGATATCATCTTTTTTCTCAATATATGCCTCCACCTGTTCCTTCATTTCACATTTTCGTTATTTCATTATGAATTTTTTTATTTTTATTTTTGATTTACAGCTTGATTCCACACCGTATTTTCAGTACAAGTGTGGAATTTTCAGCATGAACCACCTCTCATTGCAGTCTTACCATCTCCTGTTAAACACAGACCACTTTGTACTAGCCACTCAGTCATCTGACACCTTTTATAACCTTGAACTGACCGACTGGTCAATTTTCCTACCTCACACTCTACAAATCTATTATGATTAATCACCATTGTCTCCCATTTTACAAGATTTTGTAATCGATTTCAGCCCAGAGCACGTTTGTGTCACACTCAAATACGACTATTTGTGTTTTGACACCCCATAACTGCTAATCTACGCCGCATAACTAATTGACCATCATTATTGTAACGACAACAAATATTATATTATATTGTATTTTATAATTGTAAGAACCTGAATAGGAGAAATTATTGGAAAGAATATTCTTCGTTCAGATTGACTTTAAATTTATGTAGTATGTCCTGTCCATCTTGGATTATTAACTTTCCCGCTACCCTGAATAAATAAATAATGAAGGTAACGGAGTGAACTTCCGAAAGCTGCACACAACTAAAGACGCACACAAATACATACTACAGGGACTGACTACATCTCACTGCCAAATATAATTATAATAATAATAATAATAAAAAGAGAAAAAAGAGGGTAAAACCAGAGAATAACAAGATGGAAGAATGCAAAAATAAACAGTCACAATACCATATAAAAATGGTACATCAGAGGCAATTCAAAGAAACCTCAAAAATATCGGCATTCACACAACTTTCAAACCGACAAATCTAATCAAAAATAAAATAAATCAACTGAAAGATCCCATAAAAATGATGGATAAAAACAACTTGATTTACAAAATATCTTGTGCTGACTGTCCGACTAAATATGTGGGGCAAACGTCTAGATCACTCGAAGTAAGAGTGAATGAACATAAACGCCTAACCAAAGGTCAACCAACAGGAACACAAGCCTACAAAAATCTTGAAAAAAATTCATCGACAGCTGCACATGCATGGGACAAAAACCACAATAACGATTGGGACAATGTATGTATTCTAAAAACTAACATGAACAAATGGAAAGAGAGACTTATAACACAATCTAATTGATTAAGGTCAGTCACACCGGATACATGTAACAAGGGTGACTCAGCAGCACAACTGTCAACAACCTGGAATACAATTGTGAATACACAAAAATGCATGAACAAAATAAAAGAACTAACTATATATGTGAGTGAGTACAAATCATAAATGTGTGTGAATTGAAAAACGAAACAATTCCAACAGTGGTGTGAAGACGGGCAGTAATTTTGCTCGAAACATTACCGATGACAAAACTCATCATTGTGTGTAGACCATTGAAATATAATTATACTTTATTTGATCTATTTATTCCACAATGCTCAAACGTCTTACTGATATTAATAATAATCTTTTTTTCAGTTGCAGGATGACAATGCAGTTGAAGAAATTGTGCAATCGCCAAAAGAAACAAGAAGAATATCAAGTCAAACCGAGACTTCATCTCAGCAGCATCTGAGTAGTGACTGGACCCGGGATCCAAATAATGATTCGTTTGATGAAGGCACTGACCGCCAACTACTAACTGATTATTCATTACTAGACGAACAGCTCAGTATGATAGATGGGGAAAATGGAAGTGGAACTGGTAATCACTCAAATTGTTATTTCAAGAAAATATTTGAAAATAAAGAGATCAACAAACTGAAAGCAATGCTTACTAGCGCTTTATCACCAGTGCAGAAGGTATAGACTTTTGTGTATTTGATCAAGTGTATTTTGAGTTTTGCAAATTTTATCCTTGTAGTGTATGATAAATGGGATGACTGGCTGGATCCAACATAGAACTTGGCACAGAAGTGCAGCAGCTCGAGTTGCCACGTTCCAAATAGCACACAAAGGTAGACAAGAAGATGGATGAGTGAAGAGAATCAATAGAGTTTTGACAAGTATAAGAGTGAAACAGAATGAGTAATGGTAGAAAGGAATATGAGAGATTACACAAGGGACTGAATACATCTGCGTAAGCCATTGACAACGATTTTGAGCCATGTCACCTAGTGTCTGTTTCCAGCCATTGATTCTTAGAGTCCCGAGGGCGGGCCCCAACCCGGAAGTCTGCATCTCCCTCCCTACCTGACTGACTCAGTTTAACTGTCAGGGATTTCATGGATTGATGAGGCCATGTTTTTGTTTGGCATGGCACCACTTACTCTTTTCCAACCTGCACCTATACATCAGCTAGTAATGCCCGTCAGGAGGGGGGGGGAGGCGATGGTTAGGCATGCGCAACACGTCACCTAGCCATCTCAATCGATGTAACTTTATAGCCTCTTCGATTGATTTTCCCTCTTTGCCCAACACTCCACGCCTAATCTAACGTGAACATTACTTACCTAATTATGCCACCTAACGTGAGAAAGAGATCGTAGACATCTATGATCAAGAACAGTCAACCTTTTCATGTCTTCAACTCGTATTGGCCATGTTTCAGAGCCATAGAGAAGGACGGAGCAAACTGCTGAGCAGTACACACGTCCCTTGGTTGATAGTCGGAGAGAGAGTCAAGCAGTTAAATATATATATATATATCAACCACTTCACCTATCAAACCTGGTTATTCGATGACCTACCGAATTTTGTCACTTGTATAATAGTCTTGCATGATTTTTAGAAGATGGTGATACTTTACAGCTCAAATGAAGTATCTAAATATCCATTAAGGGTGAACTGTACTTACAAGCAATGTACTTTATCCTGCTAGGTGGCTTCAAAAGATAGCAGGCGACGTTAAAGGGTCTATACTATATTCAGTTATAACTAACACTGCCCTTGTAATATTGCTCACATCAGTTCGAACCACCACATGTAGTGGAGTGTAAGCACGAAGCATACAGTCATAGATGAGATGAGCAAATCGATACCGGTAGTAGATAAGGTGATCTGATCTCATATGATTCAGGACCAGATGGCCGGCCAGAAAAGATCAGCAACAGAGATCTCTGGCAATGAGTGAACCAACCGGGAACCGACTGTGCAACAAATGGAGCTGAATTAGCCATACTTTGAGGAAACTATTAAGTCACATAGCCAGACAGGCCCTGGAGTAGAACCTGAAGGGGAAGCGGCGAGTTAGTTGGTGGTCAGGGCGAGGGTGACACGCACGACAAGGAGGTGATGTGAAGAGGAAATGAAAGCATGTGGTCAGACGTGGAGGTGGGTGAAGACGTTGGCCGATAACAGAACTCAGTGGAGACATGTGGCTGATGGCCTATGTTCCTCTAGGAATTAAAGGAAACAATAATAATAGTTATAAGGTGATTGGGACAAGTAACTTGCTTGTAATACTTAACACCCACCCATTTCCACATTTTAGGCGAATGAAAGTAGGTTGGGTCAGGATGGTAGAAACTTTGGCACTAATCCATATGAGGTCGCTGATTCTTAGTCTCAGTGGACGAGTGGGAAAGTGCGGATGGACTAGTTGTGTCTCTGCATCACCGGAGAAATATTACTGTTTGAAACTTTCGGTGATGCAATTTACCTGCTTCCTTTTTCTCACCTTACATTACCTTATACCTGATAAGCATATATAAGGTGTAGTAACCTGAAGCGCTAGTCAGATTGCATCTTACCTCATTCGTTCAACATATGTGCATAAAAGGCTTACAGTAATGGCTATTTTTAAATTTAATTTAATTTCTTTTACATTCTACCGACACATGTAACGACAGAAGGCAAGAGTCAGGCAACAATTCAACAGCTTTTTATAGATTTTCATGAACATTATCATAGATTATTGTAAGCAAACAAACACAGTCTTCTGATTCGTGGTTTCTCGCTGAACGTTAATCTTTCATCTCTTTGCGGCCGTTTATTGAAGGTCAGATCATCTGCTGTCTGCTAAGTGTATCCGCCTACGCAAACAAAGTGTGCTGTGATTGGTTGTTGAGTCATTCAGTCTTTGTTCTAGTTCTTGTTTTGCACATGACCAATATTTGAGACGTAAACATTGACGTAAATTACCATCTAACAATTTTGACTAGTAGCCAGCTCTCACCACACCCGTCCCCGTCAACGACTTGCGACTGAAGTTGGTTCGGTCTTCTTGGTTCTAGGGGCTTTGTTGGTTTTTCTTGCTGTCTGGAATCTTGGTGCTCACCGATGTTCACCTGTTTGGCTTTGTTTGCCATTGCGATTGTGTCTGCGTAACCCCAGTATCTCAACGTGACCGTATGTGGTCCTTCCCATTTTGGAAACTGTTTGCCTGACCCTGTCGCACATTCGTCGGCATTTCACCTCACACTTTCATATGCTGCTTTCTCCCAACCTCCCAGCAGTGTTCCAAGTAACAGCCTCATCGTTGACAGATCTTGAACGCCACTCAACTGCTCAGAAACCTCGAATTCCTACCCGAAGATCCATATGTCTCCATCAAAAACTGCAGGGCATAGGCTTTCCATTTGTTGGTACGCAGCGACACCAAATGTAACAACAGAAGACAAGGCCAGCCAAACAGATCGTTTATTAAGGAAAATCAACAGACATATTTATAGGTTTTCATGTACATTATTATAGATTCTTGTTAGCAGACACAGTCTTCTGATTGGTTGTTTCTTTTTTGTGACTGTTTCTTGAAAGTCAGATCATCCGCTATCTGCTAATTGTGTCCGCCTACGCAAAGAAAGTCTTCTGTGATTGGTTGTTGAGTCAGTCAGTCTTTGTTCTTGTTCTTTTCTCATGACCAATAATGGGGACGTAAACATTGACATAGATTACTGTCTACCGATTTTCGGCTAGCAGCCAGCTCTCACCATACACATACAGGATTCTAGTTAGCTGTTTTTGTTTTTTACTTTTCAGAATATAAAATCCTCACTTCGACGATTTGATCGGTATAAACCGTTGTGGGAGAAGTCTAAAACAGAAGAATTTGAAAAATTCATGGCAACTAATCCATCTGTAGTCGATTTTGAAGAAGCTATACAGAAATTCTATGCAGAAGTAAGTTTAATATCTTCTTTGTGTGTTCTGGTTATGTATAATTGTGTTATATTTGCAAAGAACCAAAAACTTCTATTGTGGACAGATTACCTCAGTGTATATATATATATATGGGTGATTGTGGAAGTATCGAAGTTGTCAGTATTTCTTTTTTTTCAGGGAATCTTTTTCTTACGAGATCTACAAACACTAGTAAGTTCTCATGAAGCCTGTTGCATTGAGGGGACGAAAATTGAAACTAAGTCTAATGCAAAATACCTCGGTCTAGTTCTATCTTCTGACCTTACTTGGACATCTCATATCCTAACGATTTCTAAGAAAGTATTCCGTCCGTCTAACCTACTACATTAAGAAACTAAGACAGTCTGGAATCACCCAACCTCTACTTTCACAATTTGTCAACTCTTGTATCTTACCTATTCTACTTTACTGCTCCCCGTTAGTCTTTCCTGGTCTACTGAAAAAGGACTATACCATCCTGAGAAGGATGTTGAAGGTAGTTAGTAGGACTAGTGGTGTAAAACTTAGTCAGCTCGTCACTACATTAGTTGAAAGGCATCTGAATACATGCGAAAAATGGTCTAAAACCATACTCTCCGACCCTGAACACCCCCTCTATTCCCAACTCTCGCCTTGTATCTCATCAAGTAGAACCAGAAATCAGTATAAAATAATCTATGGTCGTACAGCCAAGTACAGGAACTCAACGATACCATAGTTGGCCCGTGTTCTAAGCGACAGAGACAATGTTAAGCGCGAAACCTATGGCTTGCTTTGTTATTAATAACATAATTTTAGGCTCTTTTATTTCTCTCTTATTTTGTATTCTATCTATAGTGAACTCCTTCTTAAACATACTTAGCTGCCTAAATCATTAACATTGGCTTACTTTTGTACTGTACTTTACTGTATTCCTTCTTTTGTGTATCCACTGATTCCGACTATATTAGCACTATGAGTATTACAAAATTGTCCTGTCATTAACCATCATGTAATTATTAGTTTTGTGGTTGTTTTTTCTCATTTTCCATACTTTTTGGCAATATTAAACTGACAATCATTGGTTGTGAACGCCACAGTCACCACCTTACAATTTTGTATTTTGCAGGGTTACTCATACTACCACTACAAACACTGCATTAAACCTGACAACAAAACAAAACAACAAACGCTGAAATGTTATTTTGTGATTGTTTAGGGTTGTTTCAACCAAATTAACTGATCATCTTGGCGATAAACATTCTCAAATATCATTTCATAACTTCTTGTGTGACTATAGCTTTACTGTCACCATGCATAATCATATCATTGCTTCCACTACCCAATACTGAGTTATCATTATATGCTGTTTACTTTCCTTTCTACTTCTTGATATTTTTTCGCATTTTTTAAAATTATTTTGTGTTTTTCCAGTAATTTTTTTTGCTGTTGGTGTCTTTATATTTATATTTTTGAAATACTCCTTTTAAATGTTTGATAAAATTAGATGCAAATATTGTAGATATGTGCTGAAAATTCCACACTGTACCACTAGTACTGTTTCTGGAATAAAGCAAATTATTACTATTATTAATGAGCAGAAAAGGAAGCAGGAGACACGAAGAAAGCCATCATATCAGGGAATGAATGACATAGTGCAAAAGCTAGCCGAGGAACTCGATGTTACGATTAGAAGAGATGTCGCGAAATGGCGACACTAAGATGCAAATAATCATGCCGTTACCAGTGCAGCTCACTAACTGAAATCATTTGGAGGTTCAATCGGTCGATCGGTCGGTTTTCGACATAGAACTTTGCACATATGTGCGGCAGTTCAAGTCGCCACACTCCCTCCACTCCATGTAGCACACAAAGCAAGAGAAGAAAGTAGGAGAAATGCATAATATAGCCAGTAAACAGAGGTGTGAGACGAAGGAATAGTAATAAAGAAGAACAAAACAGTTTCATTGGAAATCATGAGTCACAAGGAGTGGATGCATCTGCGCCATTGAGAACGATGAGTTTGAGCCATGTCACCAATTGTTTCCAACCATTGGATTTTACCGTCCCGAGGACCCCAACCAGTCAGGAAGCCAGTCTACACTTTCCTACGTGGCTTAGACTAACTGTTGTAGATTGCATTGACTGATGAAGCCATGTTTTCGTTTGACCACTGCTAGCTCTTTTCCAGCCTGACCAATCCTATATCAGCTAACATTGCCCATTGTCGAGGAAGGCGATGACTAGGCATAAGTAACACATGTCCTGACCATCTCAGTCGATGTAATTTCACAGTCTCGTCGACTGATTTTCCCTCCTTTCCTACCACTCGACCATCACCTAACCTCAGTATTGCTCACCTTATTATACCACTTCACGCGGGAGATAGAACGTAGACACCTATGAAAACCAAAAAATGTCGGATAGTCGCCGCCTCGTCCTAGTTGCCAAATCTTCATCAATACACACCCACCCACCAGTGACTTCACTGGAGATAGAATCTAGAGTATTAAGGCAATGAGTTGATCTCGCTAAGCATTCATCCCTTTGGTTAGAGGTCATTGGTTGAACAGTTAACTTTTTACCTTGACTTCTTTTAGTTCAAGTCAATGTATTTTTGAAGAAGCATCAAAGATAGGACTTCAGGTGAACATTGAGAAAACGGAGGTGATGAATATTCCTGGACAAGAACAACAACAACAGACAACGATCAGCATAAATGGGAGGAACCTGAAAGAAACAACCTCTTTTACATATCTACCTACCTGGGAAGCATTGTTTCAACTACAGGCGGATGGAACTGACGAGGATATTAAAGCAAGGGTCGGGAAAGCAAGACAAGCTCTAACTACTCTCAAGTCTGTGTGTGGGTCAACAGACAGCACTACTCAGCATGAAAATGAAAATAAGATCCGGATTTTCAACTCCAATGTGAAGTCAGTCAGTGCCACTCACTATACGGATCAGAGACTTGGCCAGCGCGTCATAAACAGCATCTCAAACAAACTACAGACCTTCATCAACAGCTAGTTGTCTTCGCTCAATACCACTCAAGATCATATGGCCACCCGGCCAGGAAGGATCAGCAACAGGGATCTCTGGCAATGAGCGAACCAACCCAGTAGGAACCGATTGTGAAACAAATAGGCAGGAAGAAATGAAGGTGGATTTACTGGCCATAGTCGGAGAAAACAAACCATCAAGTGACATCACTAGACAAGCCATTGGTCGAGTGGAACCCGAAAAAGGAATCGGCGAGTTGGTCGTCAGTGTGAGGGTGAGGGTGACTTGAAGGAGGTGATGTGAAGAGGAGATGAAAGCATGTGGTCAGACTTGGAGCCAGGTGAAAACTTTAGCAGAGAACCGAACGCAATGGAGACGCACGGCTGAAGCCGTATGTTTTTAATAATAATAATAATAATAATTTGCTTTATTCCAAAACAGTACTTGTGATACAGAATGGGATTCTCAGCATCTTTACTACAGTATTGCATCCAGTTAGTACATTATCAATAAATAGAATTCTACATAGATTGAGGAAACCACAGTTCATTATTACAACAATACATTGGCATGTCAGTAGCAAAGGTAAAGCTGAAAGTGTTTGAAGGTGTTAGAAAAGTGGGGGCTCTCTTATTAACTGGCGTAAGCAAGAGAAAGAAACAAAGCAGCACATAACGGAAAAAAACACAGAGAGAGAAAAGGAAAAGAAAGAAAGAAAATGTTGTACCTATAAATGATATGAGTTGGAAAGACGAGATCCAGTTGTTCTACTGAGTATTTAATAACTTTTAGGTATCACGCCTAATACTTTCTTTATCTCACAGAACATGAGCTAAGTAGGGTATGGTTGAGTTTTTGTACTTGCTGGTGCGAGCATATAGTTTTCTATATTGGCTTCTTGTTTTACCTGATGAGATGCAAGGGGAGAGTTGTGAGTGAAGAGGGTGGTGTGAGTTAGATAGAATGGATTTAGCCCATTTTTCACATGAGTCCATGTGCCTGCCTGTGAACCAGAATATTAACAAGCTGGTTAAGTGGCACGTTGCTTACCCTGCTGACAACCTTTAACATCCTGCGTAAAATGTTATAGTCTTTCTTCAGTAGCCCGGGAAAAACTAAGGGGGAACAATAGAGAATAATAGGCAGGATGCGAGAATTAACGAATTGTAGGAGTAAGGGTTGGGTTATACCAGAATGTTCCTCTAAAAATAAAGGGAAATCATAATAATAATGTTTTTAATACATATCTTTATTTTTTTATTTTTTAAGTCTGTGATTACGTTTCATCCCTATCCTACATTCCTTAGAATGGGTTATTTCAACTTTCTAATCAATACAGTCTTAATGTATAGTATAAAAAAGCAGCTATATGTGAGGTCAGTAAACAAAGAAATTAATAGAGAAGTATTTAGAAAAAAAATATGTTTCCTCTCTGAATTCATCGTATATTTTCTGTATTTTTTAAAAATACAATGTCCCACCCAACCAGTTCCGATGAACATCTAATAAATAGACTGCAGGAATAAACTGAAACTTTCTCTTGGCCTGCATATACAAATGTAGCAGATTATTATTATTATTCCCTTGGGTTCAACTGCACGTCTCCACTTGCTTCTGTCTTCTGCTGTACTTTTCACCTGCATCCATGTTATTCCATACTGTTTCAACTCCTCTTCACACAATCTCTTCCATGTCACCCTGGGACGTCCCACTACTCGCCGCTTCCCTTTCGGGTTCCACTCGAGCGATGGCCTGACGCGTCTCCTTCTCTTGTATGTCTTTGCATTGAATCATTCTCGCTTTCACTATTCTCCTCTCCTCTATTAGCTTCCAAGTGTCCGTTGGGAGTTATTCCTTGTCTTGTGTCTTCTTTATTCTTAAAACCGTTGAACAGGTTTCGTTGAAAATCACCTTCAGAGAGTTCCAATGGTCTTCCACGCATGATTCCTCAGTGATGTCACGTAGTGTTTCCTGCTTTGCTCTGACAGTTGCAGTGAAAGTGTCCTTTGTGGTTGTGT